TCATTGCTTCCAGCTAGGTTGGTTGTAAAGCTTTAAAGGATTTTTACCTTAATGCATTCTATACATAAAGGTAAAAAGCCTTCTGTGAATGTGATCCTCCCCCAGTCCCCCCACCCCCACCCCACTTACTTACCTGAGCCCCATCGTGACCCAACACTGTACTTCAGAGTAGCGACTCTCTCCTTTCTGTCCCTCTTCATAGGGCAGATCGATAGCAGCAGGTACCATTGGCTCCTGTTGCTGTCAATCAAACTCTGTGGCTAGGGAGCAGGAGAGAGGGCTGTGCCCCACTGTCTGTGTCAGCCAGGCTCAGGAGCAAGCCTGCATGACTGCCCTCATGTGAAGCGACTTCCTATGGGGGCACTGGCTGAAGAGGAAGAGCCAGGAGAGCCGACGGAGGACCCAAGAGAAGGAGGATTGGGACTGCTCTGTGCAAAACCATTGCACAGAGCAGGCAAGTTAAACATGTTTGTTATTTTAACCACTTGCCTACAGGGCACTTTTACCCCCTTCCTGCCCAGGCCAATTTTCAGCTTTCAGCGCTGTCACACTTTGAATGACAATTGTGCGGTCATGCAACATTGTACCCAAACAAAATCTTTAGTATTTTTTTTTTACACAGATAGAGCTTTCTTTTGGTGGTATTTAATCACCATTGGGGTTTTTATTTTTTGCTAAACAAACTAAAAACCTGAAACTTTTTGAAAAGCTTTTTCTTAGTTTCTGTTGTGAAATTTTGTAAATAAGTAATTTTTCTCTTTCACTGATGTGCGCTAATGAGGCTGCAGTGATGGGCACTGATAGGCGGCACTGATGAGCTTTGATAGTTGGCACTGATAGGTGGCATTGACTGGCACTGATAGGCAGCACTGATTGGAACTGTTAGGCGGCACTGACGGGTACTGATAGGCCGCACTGATGGGCACTGATAGGCGGCACTGACTGGCACTGACAGGTGGCACTGATAGACGACACTAACTGGCACTGATAGGCAGCACTGAAAGGCAGGTCTGATGGGCACTGATATGTGGCATTGATGTGCACTGGTAGGCACTGATATTTGACATTGATGTGCACTGATGGGCACTGGCATGTGGCATTGATGGACACTGACAGGTGGCATTGATGGGCACTAACAGGTGGCACTGATGGCACTACACTGAGCATTAGGGCACTGATCATCAATGACCTGATGATCAGTATAGATGTTCCCTCTGAGGAATGCTGATTACCGTCTCTCCTGTCCTCATGAGCTGTCAGCGGGAGGAGAGGACTGCCAATAACCGGCATTTCCTATTTACACCTCATTGGCTCTTTACAGTGATCTGCTGTGTCCCACCAATCACTAAGATGCGTAGTTAGAGTGGGAGGACATCATATCGAGCTTTACAATCACTTTAATGAAAACACTTTGAAAACATAAAAAAAAAGTTTTCCCCAAGTGCTATGCTATATAATTTGTTTTAGCAGTTTCAAGCATTCTGTAAATCTTGACTGAACCACAGGCTACCTTAGAAAACATGGCTGTTAAAATTAAATTTATATTACGCTATTATACATTGACCAAATTTGGGATATTTTACACCCTGTTATTATTTACAGTACAACTAACCCTATGGGGTTAATTTACTAAAGGCAAATAGACTGTGCACTTTGCAAATGCCGTTGTTCCAGAGTTTAGTAAATATAGTAAAGCTTCACTTTACTTTAAAAATACCCAATTACTTGCAAGGAAAATACAAAAAATTGCTTGCACCTAATTGGATGCTGAAAGTTAGCAGAGCTTCTCCTCATTTACTAAACTCTGGAGCAACTGCGCTTGCAAAGTACACAGTCTATTGCCTTTAGTAAATCCACCCCTATATTTTATATTAGCCATTTCAAACTGGAAAGAGACTGAAACTCTCTAAATAAATTATTTTGAGATAACCAGAGAGGAAATCATCCGTTTGGTCCAAAATATCTCAAGAAATGTACCAATTTTTTTCAAATAATTTTAGGTATGAGACATCTTTGATACTGGTGATTGTGAGAACTTTCGTGTTAGCAGATACAAAAGGCTTGGTGAACTAAGCTTAGTTACACTTGGTGACCTGTGTAGCTTTGAAGTCACTCTACTTCAGTGCGACTTCAATACCAACTATCAGTGCGATTTCATGTGTGGCTTGCTGACATCTGTGCAACTTCATTTAACAGATGTCAATGCAAGTTGCAATGAAGTTGCACATAAATAGTGCAAGAACCTTATTCAAAGTAACTGCAACTTGAGTCGCAGGGATTTGAATGGTTCCATTGCTGCAAATGGGGTGGGACTTTGAACAGTCAAATCGCATGATATGTTTCACTGGTGTGAACCGGGGCTAAAGATAAATTTAAACATTGACCCTGATTTACTATTATTATTATTACACACTATTTATAAAGCGCCAATAGTTCGCTCAGCACTGTACATTACAAAGGGGGACAGAACATGTGACAGAACAATACCAATACAATGCAAAACATGAGGGGATCGAGGGCCCTGCTCTTTCGAGCTTACTAAAGTAGATAATGTTCACTTTCAGAGCGAATGTTCGCTCATTTTACTGGAAGAGGGGAAACATACTTTGTAAAGAATACCCAGTTAAATGCAAGGTAAATTAAGGATTCTCGCTTTCCTACATTCCCAACCGGACTTACATTTTCAAATTGCTCTACAGAACCACATTAGAAGCCTCTCAAATCTCAGAGGTAAGTGGGCAAAAGCCAAGGAAAGCTCTCCAAAGCTCTTTGCTGGCTCTAATGCATCACCTGAAACTACTGGGGTGAATACTAAGACGACTTCCCTTGTTGCTGTAGACGGTATATTTTGCTGGTCTGGGAATTTTTACTGGTGGGGGTGGGGAAGGGGATGTCACAGTTGCCCTTTTTTCATCCATATATTGTCATGAATGCATATTTTTTGCCTGCATATTGTCACAACTGCTCATGCATCACTCACAATTGCTGACTTGTTGTCTCCATACCCATAGGGAAGAAAAATATATTTGAAATGCTACAATTATGGCCATATTCAATATATTTCTAAATATATTTATATATATATATATATATATATATATATATATATATATATATATTTACATACTGCATGTTAAAATGCGTTTTTATTACAAAATATATTAAAAATGTTTTTAAAAAAAGAAGATTTCAAATATACTGTATGTCCTTAAAAATACAAATCTACAATTTTGGAATGTATTTACAAATATATGTAAAAATATATGTTAAAATGACTTTTTTATATGTTAAAAAAAATCAGAAGAATATATTTAAAAAACATATATTTTTAAAAATATGTATTTTTGTAAAAGGTTTGGCAGTTGCCAGGAGAATGGTACTTGCTTGACTGCATTGTGCTAAGTGTAAAGTTTGGTGGAGGGGGGATTATGGTGTGTAGTTGTTTTTCAGGGGTTGGGCTTGGCCCCTTAGTGAAGGGAACTCTTTGTGGGAACAGTTTGGGGATGGCCCTTTCCTGTTCCAACATGACTGCGCACCAGTGCACAAAGCAAGGTCCATAAAGACATGGATGAGTGAGTTTGGGGTGGAGGAACTTGACTGGCCTGAGTCCTGACCTCAACCTGATAGAACACCTTTGGGATGAATTAGAGCGGAGACTGTGAGCCAGGCCTTCTCGTCTGACATCAGTGCATGACCTCACAAATGCACTTCTGGAAGAATGGTCAAACATTCCCATAGACACACTCCTAAACCTTGTGGGCTGCCTTCCCAGAAGAGTTGAAGCTGTTATAGCTGCAAAGGGTTGGCCAACTCAATATTGAACCCTACAGACTAAGACTGGGATGCATTAAACTTCATGTGCGTGTAAAGGCAGACATCCCGATACTTTTGGCAAATTGGTGTGTATTTTCGAAGGTTAGTGCAGATGCTTTCTATATTCACCTGCATAAAAAATTTTAATGTGTTTTATAAAGTTTTGTTCAAAGGTTGATTATTTGTCAAAATACAGGAAAAAATGCTGCTTGCTTTTAAAACCATACTGGAGGACAACGCTGAGATGAAAGCCTTACCCTTGACTATAATTGCACAGATCTCATCTTGCATTGTTTGTGCATTTAAAGGATTCTGTATATATACACAAGAACAAATTTTTAACATAGTGCAGTTTACCAGGTTATATTTGCAGTGGCTGTGTTGTGTAGTGGGGGAGCATGGCCACTTTTTAACCCATTACTGCCCAGACATAGGGGTAGTGACATTGACGTAAAAGTGTAGAATGGACATACAAAGAATGTCTTTTAACAGTTTATTGAACCAAAAGATGCAGAGATATTTACATACTTATGCTATTCTCTTCAGCTTAGGTTGCAAACACTCCAGCATATTTCAGAGAGATGTGGCATGACAGGAGAGACGAGAGGTCTGCAATTCATAGAAGAGGGTGTCCCAGGCTCTAATGTCACATTAACCTCCCTGGCGGTATGATTATGTCAGGAATTTTGTACCAAAAGCGGTACCATTTTTTTGCATGGAAAATTTCGTGTTATGTATTGTAGGCCTGCAATTCTTAGTAATTACTTACTTAATAAATACTCATAAAAAATAATAATATAATAACAATAAATTTAATTCAATAATATAATCAAACCAAAAACACTGAAATTTGAAATATAGCGCCAAGTTCGCACATCACTGAGAAAAGTCGCAAAATCGTTTTCAGTGTCTGATGACGAATTTCCCCCACGAATCATTATCACTCAATTCTGCAAGTAGTTCTGATTTACTATCGCTGTTCTCTAGCCGGTCTAAAACCGATTTTGACCTAAAGGGACGCTTTTTGGACGCCGTGGACTTTTCTAAGTTTCCAGGGAGAAAGAACAGTCAAAATGCAGGCAGGGCACAGGACAAAGCAGTAGGGACAAAATGTATGTGAAATGCTTTGATACAGGAATATTTTGCTATGAAATAATCGTTTTCAAAAAAATTTCATTTTTTAAAAATTTTCAAATTTGTCGCCAGTTCCGGCGCCCGTACACCCAATGTCACAGGGACCGGAACACGGAAGCCAGATGCCGACATCGGCCGGAGGAGATGGCCGGGGATGCTACAGGGGACACATCGCGGGAGCGAAGGACAAGGTAAGTGCTGTAGGGAATCCCTGTGCAGCGCCGCATGGTAAGCCCGAGTGTAGCTCGGGGGTTACCGCTTTTGGTACTGAAACTCTACCCCGAGCTACACTCGGGAATACCGCTAGGGAGGTTAAAGGAGTCTGCAAGTCATCCTTCCACTGCTTAAGGCATCCCCACCAGAAGGCTCCCAAGCAGAATCTCACTCTCAAGACTTGGGGGCATCTAGTGGGCTACTTCTGTGCCCTACCCTACAGCTGCATTAGCTTTCATTTTACAGACTAAAAAAATTCTCAGTAGGTATAGAAAATACTAGTTAATCTTGCCAGAAATGTAGTGTCCTTGTGAGTTGAAGTGGAAGCACAAACAATGCTATCTTTCACATCTGTCAGCTATTAATTTCCCCACCCCGCATGCACTGAGATAAGAAGAGGAAGACATGTTTGAAGTCCAGACTAAGTGACAACCATGAGTACCTCCATAGATACAGTGGAATAGTGAGCATAGCCAGTTAAGTAAAAAAATGTATTTGCAGAATTACCAGGTGTAAATAAAGAAAAAAAAACTGAAAATGAAAAAAATGCAGCCAACTCATTTAAGGATGGGTAACCTGCAAAATATTAAATATTTTCTTTTGGTTTAAATATACTTTACCTGCACCGAATGTATGAATGACACCATGGGCACAACCAGAGAAACAGTATGTTTAGCATATGTATCTCCTATTTAGTAGTAACTGAGTTATTCCTGTTTCACTGACAGATTCCTTATTGTGAACCCCAGTGTTGATAAACAGAAAGTGGAAAATTTTATGAAGGTATGAGAGTATGCAAACCAATCCTAACTATCGCTCACTGAACGGCAATGAATCACCAACAGCCTGTAAATGACACCGAAGAGATGATGTAATAAGGTCATGGCATACCAGGGAGGCTAATGAGCATCAAGAAAGATGGGGAAGTAATGGGGTGTGGAAAATCTGACTAGTCAGTTGCAAAGGACAAGCTAAATATTTGCAGCATGCGATAAGAGAAGAGAAACTAACGTAGACAGGAGGCAGAAGTTTGATATGGCCACTAACCAATTAGAAGTTGCTATTGCTATATGCATATGCTGTAGAGTTAAAGGTCTGGAATTACAGTGTGTGGATGATGATTTGTACATGGACTATTCTTGCCTCTGAAAACATCGTAGTAAACGTGTAAAAATTTGACTTGAAGAATAAAAAGTCTATGGAAAACACTTAATATTTTATATTTATGTAAGTACTTTAAATTGTTTAGTATATTTCTATACAATAGAAATACTGTTTAATGACTCTGGAACATTTCTGGGAACACCACCTAACCAGGGGCGGACTGACCATTTGGAAACTCGGGCACTGCCCGAGGGTCTGGGGTCAGTAGGGGGCCCCATGAGATGCCCCTGGTACCTTTTTCATAGGCTTTTTTGAGTTTGGGCAAGGACACAGGGGCCCCATGATCCCCTATTGCCCGGGGGCCCCATGAGTTGTCAGTCCGTCCCTTCACCTAACAGATACCAAAATAAAAGAAGAATTATTTTTGCAGCAGCTTCTTTTCAGCCAATCACAGTTAGGTAGCTGGACCATAAAGTGGGCTAATTAAAAATTGTAGATGTACCTGGTTGGGTAACACTTAACTGGCACTACTTTCCAGAACTGCCCAGAACAAACAGACAAAGGACAAAGGTATATGGGGTCATATAACAGGTATGAAGAGGTGCCTGGCAACTATTAAGAGAATAGAAAGAAGGAAAAGTCCTCTTACCTGATTGGTGAATTGAGGGAGGAGGAGCCGATCTGTGGGGAGGAGAAAGGTAGGGGCTTTCTAAGACTGATCAGTGCCCTGCACTTTTGTTATTATTATTTACAATATTATGTTAATTGTTATGGCAGCTGTTTTGCAGTTTTGAGATTTCTGGAGGACATTACCTGCTGTAGCGTAGTCCAGTTATAGTGAACCAGGAACAATGTATGGATGGGTATTTTGCAGTAGGTTTCTGTTATCATCCTCAATGTAGTGTAGTATGGCTGGGCATCTAGCAAGTAACAGATTTTATGCCACAAATACAATGCTTTGGTTGGATATTTATTTCTGGTGTCTTGAAGGACCAATAACCCAGCTTATTTATTGTTCAGGTATATGTAAACCCTCACCTTGTAAAACAACTAATTCAGTATAAAATAGAAATGAAAGGCAAAACATTTGTGTATACATATAAACAACATTTTGAATTCCTTTTTTCAAGTGATCAGATACCCTTTGTGCTCAGCTGCATAGCGGTGAGGGCCCAGAAACAGCAGCACAATAATCTTCCCAGTGAATGGCTGTATAGGGGGGAGGCATCTCAGGACAAGTCGGGTCATTGGAGAAAAGCAGAGTTCACAGCACAGCTAGAGAAGTGCCCATTCTGTGTTCTCCTGCCTAGTGTGCTCAGTTTTAATAGTATGGCAGAGGAACTGGCAGGAACACCAGGGATTTCACACAGAGGAAGTGTGGGGGAGACATAGCAGCAGGCGGATCTTCCCAGGGAATGGCTGTGAAGGGGGGGGTGTCAACAGCAATCTGATCATTGGAGGAAAGATGGCTCAGTTCCCAGCACAGCTAGAAATCTTGACCAGGCTGTGCTCTCCTGCCTATTGTGGTCAGTTTTAATAGGAAATCGGAGGGACTGGCAGGAACCCCAGGGATTTCACACAGAGGAATCAATACAAGATGAACAGGATACTTTTTCATACAAATACAAACTACATCAGGCACATATCAGGAATATGAAATATTGGGTTTACATAATTACTATTATTTTGTAATAATGCAAAATATACTGAAGGGATGCTATGGCCATTAAGATATTAGCCTAGTGGTAGAAATAGTGGGCTCCTTCTGCAATACCTTCACCATGGAATTTTCATTTACTTTGGCCCAGAGATTACATATCATGTAAATTTTTCCCCCACTGGAGTAGCTGATTGGGTGGTCTTTGGGGAAGTGGAAGGAAATGTTCCAGAAGCTGCACAGAGGATGATAGAAATTGATGTTGACTGAGCAGGATATCCAGGATCCACTATACACACTCGAATCAGCCACACACACAGTCCAATTTTATTGTGCTAGTTGTCAATACAGCCCAAATAAATCATTTATTTCCTCTCAGCAGTAAACAGCCCCTCTTTCTGTGGAAGTATACGTTCGGTGCCCAGTAAAATGGATGCCCATCCCAGGGGTAGTGAAGAAAGAATTTACCTTCTTAGCCCATCTCTCTGTCTTGGCTCTGTTCTTCCTATTTACCAGCTGGAATTCTCTCTAGCTAAGCTCCACCCCAAACTTATATAAGATCCTGCCAGGAAGGATATGAAATCATTCCCCTTACTGGAATGATTTAAAGAGCAAACCTTTTTTAAAGGGGAAACCAAGCAACCTCTGCATATAGCCTGTGCAGATAGTGGGCAGAAAGATCAGTGACATGGACCTAGAAGTGATAGGATTTCTGTTTAGCAAACAGATCTGAAAGAACCTGAAGAATATTTAGCTTAGGGTGATGTGTGAAAAAACCCCAGGAAGGGTGAATTTGATGTTCTATGAATCCTTGGTGTACAGTTGCAACCAGGGGCGGACTGACCTTTTAGAAACTCAGGCACTGCCCGAGGGCCTAGGGTGAGTAGGGGGCCCCATGAGATGCCCCTGGTACCTTTTTCATAGGCTTTTTTGAGTTTGGGCAAGGACACAGGGGCCACATGATCCCCTATTGCCTAGGGGCCCCATGAGTTGTCAGTCCGCCCCTGGTTGCAACTGTACTGTCCTTTCTATTGCTGTGCCATTCATTTGAAAGACAAACCACTAGTCCTCCCCTCCTCTACTGCTCAATGAATATGATGGACGCTTAGTTTTCTATTCCTTTTTTTTATTGAGTTTTTGTTTTTTGTTCCACAACACAGGAATACAAATCGGTACAAATCAGTACAAATGAAAAAAGAGTATCAAGACATAATACGTACATTATTTTACATTCTTGTACACAAAATTCCAACTTATAGCCTAAGAGGCTGAACTTGCCTGTTTCTGAACTATCTTCATGGAGTCTGCAACAGGATCCTCACATACCAGCCCGAAACAGGGGGGAGATTCTCAATGCGCATGGGCCCTAAGGTCCAATCCTGTTGGCTCTGGCCGCCCAAGGGGGGAAGGGGACCCGTCTATCGACCTGTGGTCTCCACCTCCCCTACAAAACGGCTGACAGACCATTAACAGATGAAAGACAGGAGAGGTAATAGGGAGTTGAAAAGAAGAGAAAGAATAAGGAAAAGGGAGAATATGAGAGCTGTCACTGAGGTTCAGAGAGGTCATTTGCTAGCCCAGTTACGTGAGACCTGTAAGGTAGTTAATCCAAGGTTCCCAAACTGTCAAAGTTTGATATCTTGCCCTGCAGACTGGCAGAGGCGTTCATTCAGCATTATCCAGGACAATTTAGCCTTTACAGGATAAAAAGGAATCACTGGAAAATTCCAAGATCTCGCTATCATGATCCTAGCTGCTATGAAAATGAATGTTATAAGGTGTCTTGAGGTCCCTTTTGCAGGAAAGATCAATAGAGCTTGTCACTGGGATTTGGTTAAATTTTTTTCCTGTAAGGGAATAAAGAAAGTTATAGATGTGGACATCCACCAGACATGATACGCTGTCCCCTCTTGACCGCATCCTCGGAAACACAGTGGGGAAGCATCTGGTATCCATTGAGCTATTCTGGCTGGAACCATGTACCACCTTATGCAAATAATATAGGCTTGTGAGCTGCTACACCCTAGGTATAATGAAGGAAGAATGCGATTGCTACACTCACTAGCCAGGTATACTCTCACTTTAATTAAAGAATTAGACAAAAATGTGATGCGCTGACTCCTCAATGTGAAACATAAACCTTAAAAACAAGCAATAATAACAATCCTCAAAAAATCAAATGTGAAGTTATATCAGTCCAATCCAACATATAAAAAGTCCTAATGTTGTGCTATCATCCAAAAAATTCCAAAAACGTGCTTGGATTGTTCCTGCTCACCTTGAAGTTTGACCTACAAATTATATTAGGTCAAATGCACTTTTAGAAGGACTATGTAGCCTCTAAAT